AAAAATAATAACCAAGCTTAAATCAAAAACAACTAACAAGATTCCTTGTAATTCTTAAAGTAGAACACAAAAAAAGTATGAAGAGAATAAAAAAATTTTAGAAAAAAAGAAGAAAGGGCCGACCAGATTTTAGGTGAGGCGCTTTGTTAAGGCCAGCTGACTTCCATGCCCACCTATGAATCGCGCAGCGCTGGCACTCTCCGCACCCTTCGCGGCTAACCGCGGCAGGCCTAACACGCTCGGGTCCCCGTCACAGCTCTGGAAACCAGGGACGCGGATCTGCAATCTTCAGAGCTCAACGGAATTTAACATCGAGTCTCATGCCAACATGCGCTACGACTCCTTCTGCTGATTTATCTGAAACATGGCTCTCCTCTCACCCCAAGTGTCCTGCGACCTGTCAGATCAGACTGCAGGTGGACGCCCTGATTCCAGCCCACCAGGACTCTTTCCTGACCCTCGAGTCTCCCCTGCCTCTCACCCTCGCTTCGATTCAACTCGCGCGGTTCCGCGCTCCCGTCACCGGCAGCCTGCACAGACCCCGTGGACCGATGAACAGGAGCAAGTCCTCGCCAGGGAGGAGTTTCCAGTTTAACGGGAAAGCTACATGTGCGCACGGGGGTTTCAGGGTCCCGTGTGAGTGATGTGACGGACACTGAGTGTCACCGGAACACCAACGTTTGGAAGAGGCGATGCCCAAATTGAGTGTGTGGTCTCCACGCGGAAAGGGTCCCGTGGGGGCACGGAAGGTAAGTGCTCGTTACCTGAAAGCACCAAATGTTAATCTGGGATGGAAATACAGCATTTAATACTGTTCTGTGTACTTTTCTGGATTTTTATTTGAAAACAAGCCGTACCACGGACTGCATTAGCAGGGATTATGGTGCATAAAGGCCTGGCCGCCTGGGAGCGGGCGGTGGCCACCTCCGCCACAAAGGCAATAGGCCGGCGCCACAGGTCTCACAGCCGGCAGCCACCGTGCCAACCGCAGGCTGCCGCAAAGGGGGATCCGAGCAGTGGACTGAGAGTTCAATAGACCTTTCAGCAAAAACACAACAATGGCGCAGTGTGGCCTTCTCCAGGCCACACGCAGCCACCGCTGTGACAGTGCTTATGGGGCGAGGAGGGGAAAGCCAGCGAGCTCAGACATTGGGGGACAATTTCACAATGTGGGGGTGCTTTCTGTTTTCCTTTGGTAGTGTCCCTTCCATGTGTTTTAATAAAGATATTAAAAACACACAAGAAAAACCAAGGGGCCTGTGACAAGAAGAAAAGCTCCGCGCACAGCTCAAGTGGACCAAGAGGCAGAGAAGACCAACTGCTCCTGACCCGCACAGCTTGTCCCTGCGCTTCAGAAATGGTTTTGGGGACTGGCCAGTGAGAAACAGACCCAGATTAAATTCTTTACAAATGGAGATTTTACAGTTTAAGGGAAGATTTTAGGTTAATGGTGGCTAAAAGCATGCTTTTACCGTTCAAAATCCCTTCAACACAAGATAATCCCTCAGAAAGAAAACAAAAGATATAGGGTCTGAAGAGGGGAAAACTGCCTGGGTAATTTACAGCCACCACTTGATTCCCTTCCCAGCAAAATAAAGTGTACATCTTAACAAGGCACCAGCCTAGCTGCTCAATCCCATCAAGACAGCCAGCAAACGCACGGCTTCCAACCCAAGCAGAAGCTTCCAATTACATTTACTCATCCAGTTAAGACTGGTTTACCAAGGTGCGGTGGCTCACACCTATAATCCTAGCATTTTGGGTGGCTGAGGCGAGAGAAATGCTTGAGGCCAGGAGTTCGAGACCAGCCTGGGCAACACAGCAAGACCCCCATCTCTGAGGGGAAAAACAAAAAACTGGTTTGCCTACCTTGACATCCTATAAGGAAGATTTTTCTCCTTTCATAACATCCTGTCTAAAAACGAATCCCCCAAAGAAGTGTGAACTACTACTTTAGAGCACTACCTCTGCAGCTAACTTCCGGAACTCAAAAAGCAAAAAACATCAGTGTTCCTTACGGTGCGTATAACCTCAACCACCGGGCTGCCAGTTAATGCTGGGCCTGCAGTCCCAGCTACAGGGCAGACTGAGGCGGGAGGATGGCTTGAGCCCAGGCAGCGTAAACAAAAAGGGAGTGTACTCATTGGACGCAACTGAGACGCCACTGGGAACGCAGCCCCTCGCCCGGCTGGGGCAGGTGTACGGAGCTCTGGTTGTCGGGCACCGGACACTTAGTGCATTCTGAGTGCGGAATAAACTCCTGGTCCCACATCAGCGCAGATCTAGAGGTGAGTGATTAACAGTCACTGTTCCATAGTTAATGGTTAACTACTTGGTTAACATGCCTGAGTACTGCCCTAACTCCCCCAAATTTAAAGGGTTTTTTAGCAAGTGGGAACAAGTCTTTAGTATTTATTCTGTTTAGCATTTGTCTCGACAGTTGTCACACGCACACATTCTCTTACTTCCAGAGAGCCTGTGCCGCAGAAATGGCTCATAGTACAGAAAAATCTCACGCATCTGAAGACCCAAAGCTTTACAACGCAAGCTGGCTGCTCGGGTGGCACGAAAGACCTCGTCGGCTCCATCGACCCTAATTTATGTGACTTCCAATACCCAAAAGCACTTCTGAGATAAAAAAATGTGCGTGTGTGTTCCTGGGTATTAGACACAAGTCAGGAGATGTGCGTTCCAATCTGTTTCCTCCTACAGCAAAGTAAGGAGAACAGCACCTACCTCCCCAGGCTGTGTGCAGACTAAAGGAGGTAACCTTTGCTTGAGCACTGCGGGCTGTCATCTTCTTCCCCCGACATCCTAGTACTTTCCAACTGGAAGTGGACTTGCCCGGACGAGCAGAAGCACAGCCACCGGCACACACATACGTACAGGCACAGGCAGACAGGCACACATGCGCACACGAGCACGGGCACACGTACACACAGGCACATGTGGGCGCGGGCACAGGCACACGCGGGCACACTTATGCGCGTGCAAACACGGGCACAGGCACACGTACACACACAGGCACACGCCAACACAGGCAGGCACGGACGCAGGCCGCGCAACCCGCCATTCCCCCGCGGCTTTGACCCAGACCCCGCGCGCCCTCCGCGCCCTGGCCCCGCCGCACGGAGTGGAGGAACTGGAGGGAGTGGAGGGCCGGCCCTTGCGGTCGGGGTCCCGGAACGCCCTGTCCGGCCGGCCGCGGCGCACACCGAGGGAAGGGCGGAGGCGCGGCCCGCGGGCCTCTGTGAGGCCGCCCTGCCCGCCGCCCGGCCCGCCCCGCTCCGCCGCCCGCCACGTGGCCGCGCCCCCGCCGGCCCCGCGCCCGCCCGGAGCCTCACCGGGAGCCCGCGCGGCCGCCCTCGCTCTCCGGGCCCTGGAACATGTCGCCCGCCGCCCGGCACCGCCCTCTGCCCGCCGCGCCGCCGTTCCCGCCCGACCCCGCGCAGGTACCCGAGCCCGTCCTCCTACGCCCATTGGGCGCCACGACGCCAATCTCACTTCCTCAGCCTATCGCCGCGCGGACCCCGCCCCTCGCGCCTGCACCCAATATATAGGCGGCTTGGAAAGGCCGGCGCCGCGCCCGCCGCCAATTGGTGGGAGCTGACGTCACTCAGAGCGTCGGGCGCTGGCATTGGGCAGCAGGCTGGAGGCCGAGGCCCGGGACGGAAACGGGGACGAGGGGGGCGCGGTGGGACCGCCGACTGTGCGCTGCCCGCATGGCCCCTGCAGACACAAGGCCCTCAGCACAGGCACAAATGACCACCGAACGACCATGGTTAGATCAAGTATTAGTATGTATTTATGCACAATAAAAACATTTACAAGTTGAACTGGAAATTTAAACAGAAGTTTAACAGCTCTTGTTTATTATATTAAATAACCGAAACACCTTTTATTCCCAAATTGGTAAAGAATAAATAATATAATTTACAATATGGTACAAAAAATAATCAGGAAAGACAGGCATTTTGCTTTATACATACACTGTATATGTATATTTATAATCTATAAAACAAATTCACATCTCAAACAAGCCGAAAACCTTAGATGATATGGCTTAACGATTATTAAAGGAAACAGCAATAATTTCTGCTGTCCAGACCATTCCTAGAGCCAGTTATCCTGTTACAGAACAAAGGGCACAGGTTGCTGTAGTGCTTCCAAGACACGACTTAAAAATTATTGTGAGATTAGGAGAGCTTTGACAGCTGGGAAAGGTTTGCTGTTTCTTTCTTTTTTTTTTTAATTAATCTTTCCTTGTTTTCCTTAAGACAAAGTGCCTTTTTCCTCACCAATGCATTTGCTAGATCTCCATGCTTAAAGAGAAAACACAACTGTGTTCCTCCTCCCTTGCTCCCAGTGTCTTGTATTCCACAACTTTCTTTGCAGAGCAAGTTTAGATTCACTGGTGTGATCTAGTTAAAGATGCTATTACACTGAAGAGAACATCCACCAGCAATGCCACCGTACAGAACAGCATGGAACGGGATTCTGATGCTAAGAAACTGCAGATGTGTGGGAGAGCAAGCAGGGCAAATGAGGACATGACCCCAACGATTCCCACTCCCTGAGCAAGTACTCTACACCTATGAGATACAGAAGGATGAAAAAATGTCGTGAAAGCCTGAACTTGGACTTGCCTCTGCACCTTCTGAAGGATGGAATGCTCTCACTGTACATTCGCAATCAAGAATCAAAGCCAAAATGCCAACTTCCTTGACACCAGAGATATTTGGTCTCAATCTTTAGAAAAGATGAATCAGCAGAAAGACCCCAAGACATTAGAGAGATTAGGGAAAGATTTTTCTAAGAAACTGATCTCATCTTAATCACAACATGCACAAAGGAAGCCACAGGTTTTGAGACTATTTCTGCTGGAAAGGCAGAGGAAGACACAGGAAGTGGAAGGCCTCTCTGCTTGAGTCTTTTGAAAATTCCAGCCATTAACAGTTGCCTGTGTTTGTACATAAATATTCACTTAGGCTGGAAGAAAATGCATCGTTTTTCCGCAACAACTGACACCATTTCCCCTTCATATTGAAAACAAAGACATATACCGGTCTAGCTGCTAGAGAAGCAGCAGAATTCTCTGGAATCCTGTCAGTTTTACTCCAGGAGAGGAGTCAGTCCTCTCCTCCCTAAGTTACCTACCTATTGGATGACAACAGCCACAGCCCGCCGCACCCAGAGGGAGTCTATGCCGGAGACCCAGGTGGGAGGCGCTGTTAAATAAGTCAGGAGCCTACAAAAGCAGATCGCTGTCTCCAAGGTCTTCCCCATTGGATGTCACTGGGCAGAGGTGCAAAGCAACACAGCGCACTGCCTCAGGGTGTCCTGACAGGCAGCTCAGGCCCCTCTGTCCCTGGTACAGCACACGTGGCCCCTGGGTACTCTGCGCATCAAGGCTGTACTGTTACTTGGCATCTCTGGCCTAGACTGTGGCAAAGTGGGAAAGCTCGGAGTGGCCTAACAGCAGCCTGGTGTCCTAACCTACTGCAGACCTGGCGACGTCACATGCCCAGCAAGGGAGAGCGACTGATCTTCTTTAGCTCAATGAGTTGCTAATTTCAGGAGGCTGATATGTTAAGCATTATTAAAACACAAGCTAGTTTAAAGATACTCTGGATCAAACACTGCCGTTTATAACCCTTAATAAAGTGGCACCATGTTCCTTTTTTTCATCCCTCCAGAGCTTTGGGACTGTTTTTTTAAGATCTTGTGTCAAAGTCTGAAAGTCTGAAGGAGGTAAACCACCTTAGAGGCAAAAGCTCCAAGAAAAACTTGTGAGAAGACAAAAGAAAGCTCCTGCCTGGGAGCCCGCTGTCCTGCAGTGCATCACCACCTGTGGTCTGCAGCGGCTACAGCGGCTGGCGCGACAGCAGGACTGAGGGCATCCACCTGCGTCTACGCCAGAGGCCTTTCTTCCCTCTCTTCACCGTTCCCTTCATTGTGGACGGGGAGAGAAGTGGTGCAGAGGGCCGGGGCCAGCCCTGAGTGCTGCTGCCTGCCTCACGAAAGGTGGGGGGCAGAGCGAGTGTAGGTTCAGCTGGGTTAGAAAAGCCAAATCAGTCCCGGCTACTGGCGGCGCAGGCACCACCTGCCCAACAGCACAGCGGTGGCGCCTGGCCACACTGGATATGGCTGGACGGTGACTTGTGTGCTTGGAACTCCTGAGGCTGAGAAGGCAAAGGAGCCCTGGTTAGCTCCATCTGGGAAAGACCGGACGTTGGGCCGTCTGCTGTTTTAACATTGGTCACCCGGGGCTCAAGGAAGGAGACCACCAAAGGGCATGGGTTTGGTGAGCTCTGACCCCATCTGGACATGTGAACCTTGCCTGCGTGCCCTGAACAGGAGAGAGATGGGAGGAGAAACCGGAGCCTCAGGCAAAGGCGTGCGTGTGGGACTGAGCACGTACACCAGGCCTCCCTGCACCAGCACCAAGGGGAGCAGAGAAGGCTCTGAAGAAGAGAAAACTTTCCTCACGACGGCAAGTTTGTCCCAGATGCCAGACAGTAACACGGGGAAGCTCAAGAACTCATCAGGAAAGTCTCATCTGTAGTCTCATCAGTGCTTAGGGGCCATCCCAGCGGAGAGAAACATCTCAGATCACCCAGGAGAAACCTGCGAAGGGGCACGGGCAGGAAACCAACTAACAGGGACTCTTCTTCCTCTTCCACGTCTCCCTAATTCTTAAAACACAGGAAAAACATTTTCAGCCAGCTCAGCAGGACCATATAAAGTCCACACCATCTGCGTAAGATGTGGTTCTCGTCCCCCTTCCTGTGAAGGTGGAGCAGCTGGGCGGGAGCACTAGAGTGAGTGTTTCTGGGCTGATGGCACTGGCTGCAGCCCCTGACACTCAGACATCCTCTGAGCGTCTGCTGTCTCGGGGCGTGACACCACCAGGCAGGAGCCCAGGCCACACCCGACAGTCCTACCCTGCACCCTCCCGAGAGCAACCCAAAGTGGCGCAGGTTTGGCAGAAGGAACACTGCAGCGGCCTGGGGGCTCCCCGCAGAGAAAGGGGAGACAGCAACTCCCCGGCACGCAGCAGCTACGCCAAGGCACACGCTCCCTTCTCAGAAAGCAAGCCCACTGAACGTCCAACACAGCCGCTGAGGCAGAGCACAGGCTGAAACGGCACTGCTGTGCAGACCCTGACACGGGGCCCCAGGACTGGCCAGGAACTGCTCCGAACCACAGCAACTTCTGCCGTCCCCCCTTCCCGAGAACTGGTCCTGGTCCCCCGGGACATCACTGTCCTCTGCTTGTGGGGACACAGTTCATGACCAGTGGCTCCTGCATGGGTACATTGTAGGGTGCAGAGGTGCTTCTCTTCAGACCATCTTCCGGGGGTCCTGGGCTCGATCTGTCCTCTCTCGCTGGAAGAGTTGTTCAGCTACCACAAAGGAGAACCCCCAGCCCCATAAGTCCTCCTTTTAGCCTCCAGGATACCCTGTCCTGAGCTGTGGTCACTGGGATAGGTCACCGACAGGGGGGCCACCTCCGCCAGCATCAAACAGAACCTCCCGGCGGCCAGGCTCCGTGATGGACAGCTCTTGGGCCAGGTCGTTGAACCGAGATATGTAGTCGATGCTGTTCTCATTCATCATGCACGCCAGCTGGGAATCCACCACCTGCAGCACAGAGGAGACACGGGACCATGTCAGCTGGCGGCTGGATGGCCCTCCCGAGGGAGGTGGCTCCCTGCGGAGAAGACTGCTATCTCCCACCAACTCCCGCTGCTGGAGTCGAGCCGTGGACGGCGGCCCAGTGTGCTCTGGAGAATTTCAGAAGGACCCGTTGTCCGCACACACTGCTGCACCAGTGTGGTGGTGCTCCTCCCGACAGCCACAGAGACTGAGGAGCAGCCTGAGGGAACAGACGCAGTGAGGGGACAGCGTTTGCTGGGGAGAGAGGTTGGGGGGCTCCAAGGACTAGAGCCTGAGCAGGAGGTGGGGTACATCCTGAGGACAAGTTGGGAGCGTGTTCCTTTTGGGAGAAACAAGTGCAAAGGCCCTGAGGCGGGAACAGGCTTTGACTGTTCAAAAAGCACAGGAGAGACACTGGCCATGACACAGGGAGCGCGGCGGAGTGGAGCGGGGAGACGCGTGTGCAGCAAGGCCTCAGGATTTGATCCTGCGCGTGGCTATGTGGAACCTGCTGTCTTCACTGTTTACCCTCCGCCTCCTGCGCCTGAGTGGAAGCGTCCTGTGGACAGGGCCTTTGTTTGCATGTAGTAGACCCTTAATAAATGTCGATAATGAATTGCACGACATCGTGAATGAATGGGAGGCTTTGGAAAACTGAGCAGGGCTATGGTATGAACTGAATTTTAAACTTTTTATTAATATTATGGGGAAGGTGAAACAAGTTCAACTTGTTTTTAGAACGTAGAGCAATCGTGACTCTCCTGCCCGAGTTCCATCAGCAGCTTCCACCCT